ACTAATAAGAAATTAGAGAGATGAGGAGAGATTAACGTCAGAAGTAATCGTGGATGCTACAAACACTGAGCCTCTAAAAGTCCAAATTCTGCCTTGACAGTTACTGTTCTCTATGAAGTCTGGAGGTAGACATACACACAAAAGAAAAGAAATGTCCACTCTTATTAGCTAGACTCGTGCAAACAGGATCTCCCTTTAGCTAGCTGGCTGGAGCACAATGAATGGAGTGAGACCAAAAGATATTTCTCTCTTTCCCAAGCCAAAATCTGAATCTTAATCATCATTTGTACTCAAGGGAAGGACAGTATACCAAGGAAATTAAGAGTTCCAGAATGTGCTCAAGAGACCAGCAGAGAGAAGTGCATGGCCAAAGGTCCTCTGGGCAGAGTGCCCACTAGTTGAGCTGCTCGTGTGCTTTTGAAGGTGACCTTGTAACCTAGTGATCCTGCCCTCGAGTCATGCAGCCCAGTGAGCATCCTGCAAGCCGATTCAACAGTTCATTGGGCCCTCCTTGGGAAAAAGCACAGAAGGGAGAAGGGAGTGAGCCAGAGCCTACATTTCCTGGAGGTGTTCATCTCCCTAGATGCTTACAGCTAAGGAAGATTCCATTTGATTTCAGCAAACAAATTTTTGTCTAGTAGAGCTTCTGGGTTGATGAGGCAGTCCTCAGGGCATGGGGGAAATTATATGCAGAAAAAATATTATGGATTTATGCCTCAAATCTGTGGCTTGTGGAAATAGCAGCCTATAATTTCTTCCCTGTCATTTCCCTTCTCGTGTTTGTGTTGCCTAAGTGGTGAGTCCTGAGCTAGCAGTTTGTCCTCCACTTCAAGGTCCATGGTTTTGGGGCATTTGCCTTTATCCCAGTGCCCTATTTTCAAGGATGTCTCTATAACTGGAGAGCAAACTCCCTAAGGTCGGAAGTTCTTTTCCATTTTTCTACTTACACCATGTCCTTTAAATAGGTAGTGCAAGAAAAAGCTCTTAGAGCTCAACAGGGACTAAATCCCCATTTTAGAGATGAGAACGTTGAGACCCAGGAGAGCCAGCTGGCTTGTTGATCACTTCTACAACATCTGTCTCTGAGCTCAGTACTCTCTCCATGTACAACACTGCCTCAATCACAAGTAAGGCTCTCCTAATAACAGCTGTGCACCAACCTTGGCGGATTATGTGTATGCGTGTGAGTAAATGTAAAGCAACATTATACATACTTTTATTAGAGTAGAATACTACCTTCAGATATACAGTTGAATCCAAAAAAACAAGTATGGAACAAGATATATAGTATAATCTCTTTTCTGCTCCTCCCTCCCCAACAAAAATAGCAGCCGGTATGTGAGTTTCTGGGCAACTGTGTTTATGGGTATCTGTGTGCGTGTTCTCACACACATGGAAAAGGTCCAAGGTATGCCCACCAAACTGCTAACAATGGATTCTCCTTGAGGGTGGGAGACTTTCACTCTTTTACTTATATATTTTGGTAGTGCTACATGTTTTACAACAAGCATGTATTACTTTTGCAGTTAAAAAATCATGAGCAAGAAATAATAGTAGCTGCCATTTACAGAGTATGGACTAGAAGCGAGGCAGTGTGTTGGCTTTCCACACACCATCTCATTTCATCCTCCCCATGGCTCATGGCATGGGCTATCTTTATATCCCAGATAGGGAAACTGAGACTTAAAGAGAACATACAGCTCCGTAAGGGGCAGAGTCAGGATCTGAACCTAGGACTGTCCGACAGGAAAGCCATATTGAGATCAGCCCTACAAGGCCACTCCTTTTTGCCTGCACTCAATAAAGGGTGTGCGTCTCCCATGGGGATGCCATCCATTTATCCTGAGTTGCTTCACAGCAGGAAAAGGCTGCCACTTGTCATGTTATTGAATTAAGACAACTTGGGGTGCCTGCTTCCTGAGCTGAAGGCCCGTTTGCTACGTGCCCACTCTCCCAGCCCACCCCCTGCTCCTCCATCCTCACCATTCTTGGCAATCTCTCCATGTGTGAATTCCATTAAAGGTCTGCTCACTGCTATTTTGGGCCATGCATTAGCACTCGGGCTTTGACTTGATGGGAGAAGGCCAGACACCTCAGGATGATGAAAAATAAATTAGAAATGTCCTCTCCCTTCCCTCACAAATCCCAGAAGCCCTTGCCCAGAGAGGCCTGAGAATCCAATATATGGGGAAATGTATGGGGGTTGGGGAGCTACAGAGAAAGGGAAACTTCATAACCTATCAGGGGCTTTGAACTTGGCTGTTGCTTCTCCTTGGAATTGTCATCTCTTAGCCGTCCACAAGGTTCACTTCCTCACCTCCTTCAGGTCTTGACTCCAATATCAATTCACCACCAAGGCCTTTCCTGGCCACGGTTCTGGAAAGCCCCTCCCTCCCGACCCCTCCCCCCACCCCCCACTTTGGTTTCGCCATAGCGCGCATCTTTGAGCATACCACAGTTCACTTGTTCATTTGTTTACTGTTCCTGCCACTGGAATATAAGCTCCATAAGGACAGAACTGTTCTACTCACAGCCAGGTTCCCAGTACTGACACTGGGGCCAGCAATGCTATGGATGCATAAGAGATGAATAACAATGAATAAATCCGTTGAGGAAATTGAGAACCAGAGCTTGAGAAGTCACCTGGCACAGAGCCTAGCTTCCCCTCAAGTATCATGGGATTACAAAAACTTTAACGCAGCAATTTGAAAAAATCAGAAAAGCCTCACTCCCCCACCCCCCACCCCCAAGCTGTTCTGAATCTGGACTCACAAGCCCCATGAATGAGAAGGCTTGGGGAAATAAACACACTAGGAAGTCGTGTGCAGTTAGAGTTCCGCTTGCTAACACATGTTCAAAAACAAAAAGCCCAATTTAGACGAAAATAGCAGGAAGCCGTCCCCCAGGGATACCTGGTGAGGTCATACTGCTTGGCTCTGCTGCTTCCATTTTTGTCAAGTCTCCTGCCTTCTGCCAGCTCAAGGAGGCCAGGAAGCACATCCAGCCCCCTGCTGCTCACTGGGAAACCAAAGGGCTGCCTGGAGCAGCCGGCAATAGAACATGAGGGCCCTGCTCTGAAGCTCTCATGTGGAACCGTAAAACTCACCACCGTGCCTGATCACTCACCGTGTGCTCTATAAGCACCTTGTGCAAGCTGCCTATTCACAACCACCCTATGGAGTTAGCATTGCTATCCTCGTTTTTTAGATGAGGACATTGAGCTTACACAAATTGCAGCAATTTGCCCCAGATTACACAGCTAGGAACTAAACCTCGGTTTCTCCAGACCCAAGCCAAGAACACAAATGATGCTAGTCTCACCTCTCTCAATTACTTGTTGGGCAACCTTCGGCAAGTGCCTGCCTATCGCTCTCTGATTCAAAGTTTCTACAACCATGCATAAGACCATCGTGTCCAGGGTTTTCTAAGACATCTTCCTCCTCGAACTTCCTATGGCCTCTTGCACAGGTTCCAAAACCCGAGGGAAGGATGAGTCCGGGGATCCCATTTACCCATGACATCCCCCCCATCACTTGGACTGCCCAGAGGAAGCTGAAGGGTCAAATGGTCCACTTGAGGCCAAATAGGACGGATTAGACTCAGGTGGCAAGAGGAGACATTCAGCCTGGAGCTGGAGGGCTGGAGCCACGAGAAACGAAAGCAGGTTCCTGAGAGACCGACAAGAAGAGACCCTCCGAAGGCATTTTCTGCAGGACCAGAGGAAGACAACACAGGGAGAAATCTCAAACAGGCAGAGTCGACACCTTCTGGGGCCATAGACAGCCAATTCTGTTCCAGGCAAATGGGACAAAAGGAAGCCATTCTTGGAGTGGTTTCACTGTTAGGAGGAAAGTAGCAAAGATGATTGAGATGCCCAACTTCCCAGCTTCCCAGAGGCCACCATAGACTGGAGGCAGAGGAAAGATGTGGATGAAGCCCATTGCTGTACATGCTGCTTAAGGCATGCTTTTACCACACTTCCAACACTACTCACGCTCCTTTGCAAGTATCCAAAAGCCCAAATTTGGAATAATTTATGTTCTTGCTTTCTACCCGAGCTTAGCAGCCATTCTCATCCTTCTGGATATGGGAAGGTCTCTATCCATCCCTTTCTTGGCAGTGATGCATCTGATTACTCATCTGCTTCCAGGGGACTCCAGAGGCTGCCAAGAGGAGGCAGGCAGTTCTCTGAGCCATGCAGCCTTATCTGCGAGGTCTGTGAGGCAGAACTAGTTAGTGGGAAAATACCAGAAGCCTCAGCATCCCCCAGCCAAGTAAGGAGAGCACTCGGGCGGCCAAGCAGATTGGGAATGGCCGACGAGTAGCCATGCTTATGTCTATTCACCTGCTCAATAAAATGAATCAAGATACAAATGCACTTGATGGCAAATCAATGTGGAAATATTCCTGAGCCAGGCAGCCACCCGAGATGAATGAGGTTAGGAAGATGGAGGAATCAGCCTGATGAAGCCAGGAGACTGCTGACCATGCCCTTCCTGGCAGAATCTCAGACTTAGCTGACCCAGAACACATGGAGCAGCCTGCATTTGAGGCACCAAATCCCACAACACTCCGCCCTGCCTCTCTCTCTCTGCTTTCTGCTGTTTTCCTCTAATCTCCTTTACTTCCTGCCATGCGCTGTGCTGGAGCTAGTAAGTCAGCTGCCAAAGTCCTCCACTCCATCCCTCCCTTCGTCACACACACACACACACACACACACACACACACACACACACACCCCTGTGTGCCTGCAGTGAACTCTAGGAGGCCCCGGAAATACAGCCAGAGGAAATTCAAGGAAGACATTAAATGGTCCAGTAATTTCACAGCAAGTCAAGAGATGGGGGATATGCTGTCTTTGGAAGACACTCCCCGCAAAGGAACCAGATTGAGCGCTTGGTGATTTCACAAACTGCTTCCTTCCAAAACAGTGGCACCTGCATCCGGCGTTGACATGGAAGTGAACTGTTTCATTATGGATAAATGAAGAGTCCACTTACTCATTCTTCTCCAGGTCCAAGATGAATTCTCGCCCCTCGGCCGTTACCCTGAGCTCAGCTTTGAGTGGATGCTAGAAGCAACAACAAAAGAATGTCAGTTCCTAAAAGCAGGGGACAAGGCTCCCAGGAACAAGCACAGTGCTCTGACATTGATCCACAGGAAGTGAACGAGAAAGGGTTAATTGCATTTCCAGCCCAAACATGAAATGACTTCAGCCCCCAAAGGACCCTGTTCCCCTCCCCCACCTGCCTTCTCCTCACACACAAAGGAAAGAAACTCCAAGCTGAAATGTGATGTAAGTGCTTCCATGCAGGTCTGGTCAAGGCAAACACTCGACAACAGGATCTTCGACAGTAAATTTTCTGTGCAGTCAGATCTGGATTCAAGGGCTAGCTCTCACACTGCAGTTGTGTGAACCTGGGCACGTTACTGAAGCTCCCTACAACTCAGTTTCCTTATTTGTAAAACAGATAGTAACAGTCAGCCTTATGGGAATCTTGTGGCAATTAAGCGACATAGTAAATGTAAATAATGTCACAGAGCCTGGCACAGAGAAAACCGCTGATACTTACTATTATCGAAAATACCGGGAGAACCCTCTTCCGAGTGAGTTCGTATTTTATTTCATTTTGTCTCTCAGTTTGGATACCCCTCAACCATTTCAGAGGAGACAACTAGGAGAAACTCTAACTGAAGTTTTGTAGGTCCAAAAGAAGGTACATTTTAAAAACACATGAGAAAAACTTACAGATGGCCAAATGAGCAGCATACCCAGAAGAGATCATTTAAGATATCATACAAATGGCCAATAAGCATGAAAAACATGTTCAACATCACTGGTAACTGCTCTCCACCAAAAAGCAAAATTTTCTGAAGATACCTTTAAAAAAAATCACAGTGACAGATATTTTTTAAAACCCATTGATCACAATGAGCATACTGAAGAATAGGTACTCTCAGACCCTACCAGTAAGAATTTAAATAGATACCAACTCAGTGGAAAATAATTTGACAGATAGACCAAGAGTTTTTAAATGTTTAGACCCTCTGACTCAGTAACACAAAACTCTATCTGAAGAGAATAGAAACACAGGCAAAGGTTTATACACAGGGATGCTCATTACTTATAATAATGACTAATGAAATATAACTTGAATGTCCAAAAATAGGAGAATAGTTAAATAAATGATGATCAATCATATGACAAAACACTCAACAGTCATTAAAAATTACTTTAAATAATTTTTAAACTATCAAGAAAGTATACATGATAATTATTAAGCACACAAAGGCTCAAAACAACACTGTATATTTTATTTAAATATACTTTTGTAGGAAGAAATAAATCAAAAAGTTACCATAGTGACCTCTCAGCAGTAGGACCATGGTTGATTTTATTTTCTTTGTGCATCTTTCCATGTTTTTAGAATTGCTTTTATATTTTAAAATAGAAAGGGATTTTCATCTCTTTTTACCTTATTATTGTGGAAAATTATGCAACTATTGAATCCATTGAAAACTACAACAAAAACCTATGATGTACTATATGCTGGCTAACTAAACATAATAAAAAAATAAAAATTCAAAAAAATTATTGTAAATTTTAAAAAAGAAGGAAAAAAAATTCAAGTCATAATAAACTTCCATGATTCAACAATTCAACTTAAGGTGGTTGAACTAATTTCAAAAGGAAAAGTTATTTATTTGAAATGAGATATTTACATATTTAAGCATATTAAAAACAGGATCAATTCTTTGGTGTTCTCTAACTTGGGACCAAGGAACTGATAAACTCCTGAAGTCGACCCCAAAGCTTAGTTTCAGCATCAGAGAAAGTGGGCCCACTGCTTTGCCACGTCTGGTTGTAGGGGCCTTCCTCTTCCAAGCACACTCTGCTTTCTATTTGCCCCAAACTGCACTTCCCTTTAGGGTCCTAGGCACTGGGCATCCCTGAGACATTCAGGCCACCAAGGGCTCCGATGAGATCAGTATTGCATTCGGATCCAGGAAGCTTGGGCAACCCTGTCCTTTGTTATTTTTATACTAATTCATCCTATTGACTTCTCTTAAAAAGGGACATTTCAAAACCATGGGGAGAGGAAGTTAGGTGGTTGTTTGCCCAGTAACTTTCACTAAGGGATCCACATCTCTGTTTCTGATGCCCTGATTCAACTCTGATAACACCTATTCTGGTTGCTGATCCTTTGCCACTTTACCCTGGGATATTCCAGAACAAGGACCCTGTCCAGTGACATTAAGCATCAGGGACACAGTCCCAAGTGGGCATCTGAGGAAAAGTACACAGCAACAGAGCTGTAGCAATTCCCTTATTCAAGGAGTGGATGTCCATGTGACAGTCCACAGAAAAAAGGAAAGTTGACACAAATCAAAGCACTGTCACCTCTCCTCCAAAGAGACACAAGCTGCAACCTGAGTACAAATATTTACAAGTGGGTAATCCAAAAGTATTTCTCTCTGGTGTGGAAGATGCTCAGATACTGATATTTAAAATATGTTGTCATTGTTTCCAAGGGACACTTCAAGCAAACAATGAAACAGCTCTATCAGGATCTATGCATCTTCCCTGTTGACTTTTCCCTTGCAACCCCACTCTGTGCTAGGAAAGGGCAACATCACCTCTCCTAGGAGGTGGAGGGAGTCGACCCACTGGTTATACTTCCCACAGGGAAAGGTTAAAATTCCTTTCCCTTTAAGGGTAGATTAAATAGATCTTCAGCTTCACAGGGTATCAGAAACCTGTCCTATATATGTGCACCGCCCCCCTTAAGATCTAGTACAATACTTATTATTCAGTGACTGTTCAATTAATCTTTGATGAATGAATTAATTACATAAATGAGAATAAGAGGCCGGACTGAAACCTACCTTCTACTCTCTCTCTGACATTCATTCATTCGTTCATTCAACAAATACTTATGGCACCAGGCACTGTGCTGACTCTTCCTACAAAATACAATGACCCAGATTCTGGGCAGACAATGGCTAGGAACAAAGACAGGATCTGGAGCTCCACTTTGTTTCTCAGGCCCTTCCTGAGGATACCCGGCATCCCACATCTGGAAGGAACAAAGAACCTCTACAGAAAGTATCGGATCCATTCCTCGAGCAGTAATAGATATGTTGGACTATCCAAGATCCTAATTTCTAAAAATAACCTGCTCTAGGAAGGCATCCATCAATCTGTCTAGATTTTTCCTGAGGCTATTTTCAGCCTTTCCTACTTTTTGATGAAATGAGGTTTATGCATTTATTGTCTTTAGGATAAAATGTTACTTACTTTCATTTCTCCCAAATTTGTTGCTGCAAGTTCCCTTAATAAATTCAAAGGGAAGCATTCTGGACACGTGTGTATTACCCTAGCTGTAACTTCAAGGATTCCAGGCGTTTCTCCTCTCCATTTACCTTTCCACAAAGTCTGAAATCTTCCCTGACACAGCTCTCTCTCCATTCTCTTCTACTATAATCTTGCTTTTTTATATGCTGCCCAATAAATCATAGACCCTTTGAGCCCCAAAGGACCTTATTAACTATCGCTTCTCCCCAGCCCTCTCTATTCCTATCCCCTTGAAGCCCTATTTTATAAATGAGGAATCTAAAGTTCAGAAAGTAGAAGGTCCCATAGCTGGTTACGGACACACAGCAACTGTCTTCCTTTCTAGCTCTTTAATGTCTCACTTGAACTGTAAAGACCAGAACCACAAAGAATATCCTAAATGTCCAGGTCCTCTTTGCAGAACAGGATAATGTTTTCTGTCTTGTTCCCAATCCCCTTGATAAAGCCTGTGCATTTTGGGGGTGTCATGGCCCAAGGGCCTATTGCATTTTAAGATATATCCCCCAGTACTAGATTCCTTCCCTGTCTCTTAAAAATAGCTTGAATTATTATTTTTCTCTCCAAGTACATTATCTTGTCAATAAAGTAAAGCATGTATTATATAGAGCAAAAATAAGTGACAATATTTAATCAATTCCATTTGAGAGCTGGTGATTTTTGTGACACATATTTGCACTTAGCTTGTGTCAGCATTAATAATTTTCATTTCCTCAACTAATAGCATTTGGAAGTGTTCTAGAAGTTTGTCACACAATGAAGGAAAGTCCCATCTGGGATTTTCAAAACCAATGCACAGAGAGGATAGAGTAGGCCAGAAACAGAACTAATAGCAATGACGCTTCCAGGGAAGTTGAGAAGGTGGCCCCACATCTCACAGAATGGACTTGTCAGCTCCTGGCTCTGAAAATGAAATATTTTGTGTCTTACCTTTTCTTTCGTGGGGCTTTCTGCAGTCTTCCACTGAGGTATTATTCGTTCATGCTGTAGGTGGGCGGTGCCTTCCCCATTTCCTCCTACCAATACAGGATGCACAACCATTGGAATTTCAGAACTCTGCACCCCAGCTAAGCTAGGCATGCACCCCCAACTGGGAAAAACCCCTTATTGGGTCATTAGAAGAACACCTGCTGGAGGCCAGGCTCTTGGCACTTAATATAGGTCAGGCACTCTGCTAGTTTTTGGCCATATAGTGGTAAACAGGGATAACAAGGTCTCTGTAGTCCTCACAGTTTACCTTCTAGAGGTGGGAGATGCACAATACACAAATATTCTCAAATGGTCTAATAGGGTCATGGAATAAAGAGACACCAAAGAGGAGGTGTCTATTTTATTTATTTATTTATTTATTTATTTATTTATTTATTTTGAGGAGGTGTCTATTTTAGACAGGATGTTTAGCAAAGATGGCATTTGAGACCTGAGAGACGAGAAGAAGACAGCCATTAAAAGATCTGGGGGAAGAGTGCCCCAGGGAGAAAGACCAGCAAGTGCAATGATCCTGCCTGAGCAGAAGGTGACTTGGCCTGTTTAAGGAACAAGCAGAAGGTAGAGGTAGCTAGAATCTAGTAAATGAGCAGGGAAGGTGGTAGGAGACATGGGTCTGATATCACAGAGGCCACGGCAAGTGTCTGGATTTTATTATAAATAGACTTGGAAGGCACTGGAGGGTTTAGACACAGAGCAATATGATCTGTGGTTGGTTTTTAAAAGATTCTTCTGCCTGCTGGGTGGAGATGGGGGGTATAATGGGGGAGGGGGTGGGCATAAGAATAGAAGCAAGAAGGCGGGGCTGGAGACCTGGTGAGAGATGATGGTGGCTCAGACTAAAATGAGCTCAGTAGAGAGGAATGAAGTGGTCGGATTCTGGGTATGTTCTGGAAGTCAGGTCCATGGGTTTTTTCCCCCTGAGCTTCGGTATGCTCATCTGTAATATGAAGACAATGATACCGGACTGCCTATCTCACAGCAGTACTGGGGAAAGTCACCATGAAACTGCTCCCACATCCACAAAGCATCATCACATTACCCTGAGCTTCCTAATGGCAAGTTTACATTTGTAGATCACTTCCTACTTTCCAAATCACTATCACCCCTCAGTTCCCCTTCATCCTCAAGACAAGATGCGCAGCAGGATTTCTATTTTCCAAGAAAGGTGAGCTGAAACAAGTCTTTCCTTGTTCTAGGTACCACTCAAACACTTTTTGCAGATAACCTTAATAAAGTGGTGATTCCCCAAGACCTAGATAAATTAGTCTCCACAGGAAGGGGCCAAATCCATAGGACTCCTGGGGTGGGGGTGAGGATTCCAAAATCTATTCTTTCTAAACCAACCACATTGATCACATAGAACACAATGAGTGGTGTGAGAGCTGGCTACAGTTGTGCTGGTAGAATGGCAGGATTATGAGCGATTGATGTTCCTTTCAGATTACTGATATAATGTATTCTCAATCAAAATATATCTGAAAAATAATCTCACTAGACAAGCATTAGATTCATAGTACTGGTAAAAATCAGAAGCAATGCATTCATTTATTCATAATGTGTTTTCTGAATGCTTAACTATCTACCAAGTACTATGCTAGGTACTTGATATTCCTGGGGGGGCCAGAGAGGCCTATCCCTGCTCTGGTGGCTCTGATAAGTCTAGATTCTTTGCAACAAAAAAGAATTATATGATATTTAATGGAATGTTTAAAGGAATGAAATTATCTTTATGATTGCAGAAAAAAAATACTGAAAGCAAAGCTAAATAAGACAGGAACGGAGTACATCTTAAGAAAAATTGTTCAAGGGGCGCCTGGGTGGCTCAGATGGTTAAGCGTCTGCCTTTGGCTCAGGTCGTGATCCCGGGGTCCTGGGATCGAGTCCCGCATCAGGCTCCCTGCTCCTTGGGAGCCTGCTTCTCCCTCGGCCTCTCTCTCTCTCTCTCTCATGAATAAATAAATAAATAATCTTTAAAAAAAAAAATGTTCAAAACTTGCAAATGAGGCAAAAAGCAAGCAGGATGCCCTCTCAATGTCACACTGGAGCATTGTTTAACAGGCCCTCCCATAGATCACCACATTTTTCTAGGGGAATGCACCTTGGTTTGACTTTTTTAATTTACAACAAATTAAAAAAACCATACTGTGTGAAGTTACATGTTAACTGTAGATTTTTGTCTGGTAGAGATGCAAATGACTTCGGTATGGTAGAGAGAGAACTAAGAATTAAGGTTGGTTGACCCTATGGGGGCGTTGACCACTTTCGTATCTGTCCCAGCGCACGACTTCAACATTTTCTCTGATGCTCGTACCATCCGTTCCTCTCATGCTTTGAACCAGCTTTACCATTCTACTCACCGCCTCATTAATGAATTGAAGGAATCTTTGCTACCCATTCATCCTATATTTGTATGAGTCATGTTAACTTTTTGAAAATTACACTTCTGCGATTTCTTGATGTAATCTACAGGCATTAAAATCATGTTTTTGGAGAATGTAACGATGTGGGCTCAAAAAGTGAAGTGGAGAATGCAAGGCACAAAACTGTACATATGGTATGGTTCCAATTTTATCAATATATATTTATAGGAACACACACACAAAGACTGGAGAGAAGAGGAGAGACTAGGAAAGCAGCGGAAAGAGAAGCCAAAAGCAGAAAAACAGTGGAAAAAGAGAACGAGGGCGAGGGAGGCAAGCCAGGGAGGGGACCGGCTGTTTTCTGCCTGCTCTGGGTCTCCCGGACCCCCACCACCTCCCGGGGCGCACAACGTGGAAACAAAGCCCGGGCTCCCAGGCTGGGGTCCTCGGGGAAGCGGCCCCGCGGAGTTGCAGGGGGCGACTCCCAGGTCCTCGGGCCACCCAGCCCACCCGCCTCCATCCTCCCCCAGCCTCCCCCCACAACCACACACACACGCGCCCCGCCACTTACTTCTGGTCCACCCCGGCAGGGCGAGCGCCAGCAGGCAGAGCCGGACGGCGCCCACGCCCCCGGGCATGGTGGCAGCGGCCCCTCGCGCGCTCCGCGTTCACAAGCACGCGGCCATGCCAGCCCCCCGGCCAGGCGGCGGCGCGTCTGGAACCCACTGCTCGCCCAGCACCTCCCAGCCCGGCGGCTCCCAGCCATCGGCAGCAACGCTCCGCCCTCAGCTCCGCAGGGCTCCGCCGCGGGGTGGAGGAGGGGACGCGCCCGCCGGGAGGGGACGGGAGGCGGGGCGGGAGGGACAGCCGGGAAGGAGGCGGGGGCACCGCTGGGAGCCGGGTCGGCTCAGGTGATGGGGAGCAGCGGAGGGCGAGTCCGAGCCCGCGGAGGGGCCGGCTTCATGGTGGGCGCGGCCCGGGGAGGGTCGGGGGCTCGGGCTTCTAGGAGTTAAACTGGACCCCTCTCTGCACAGGGGCCCGTTTCGTCTGTCCCGCACTGTGCTAGACGTCTTGGGTGACACCCAGAGGCTACTCACCCAGCGCCGTGCCCCCGAGGCCGCTACGCTTGGAAGCAGGCTCTGAAAGAGTTAACCGAACCGCCAGGCACAAAGAACTAAGTGCTATATGGAGTTGTTTTCTTAGCAGGACACAAATCAAGGAGCCATTCCTCTGACTGGGAGGAGTAGGGTAGTGGAGAGAGGGTTCCCAGGGGAGAAGACGTCTGAGCTCTGAGAGAGGAAGAGAAATGGAGCACCAGACAGAGAAAACGGAGTAGACAAATACACCAGGGCAGGAAAGCCCACGGGTTGTATTGGGGGAAAAACAGAATTAGGTATGGTTAGGATTTAGGGCTTTGGAGGGAAATGAAGGGAGATGAGGCCTGAAAATAATCATAAGGACCTTACTTACTGAGGACTTAACTATCTGCTAGAATAAAAAAAAAAAAGTAAGACAGATACAGCCCTTTCTAAGTGCCAGAAACTGTCCTCGGCACTTTGCATAAATTAATTAATTAATTAATTAATCTAGGAAAAGAACTACCTTTATTGTCCCTTAAAATGTGCCGGGGACTCTGGATACATCATCTATTAATTAGCCCAGTAATCCCTGGGGTTATCCTGTTCTAGAGATGAGAAAACCAAACCTGAGGGGCTAAGTAATTTGTGCAAGGTCACGCAACTAATGTCAGAGTCTGGACTCAAGCCCACATCTGTCTAACTCCAGAGTCTGATGCAGCACACTTTATTTTACAGATGGATAATGATAATCATCAGAGAGAAGTGGCTTGCCTAAGATCCCTTAGCAAGTTTTGGCAAAGCCTGGTTCTAGAAACCAAGCCTCAGACCTCTTGTTATCTATTCCTTTCGCTGAGCCTCTTTCTTCAAACCCAGGTTTGCACAACTCAACAAAATACTGTGTATTGGGAAGGACAAGACATTGCTGAAAATGATGAGTAGGTAAGTGGGTCTGTCAAAACCGCTGGGCACCCATGGGATAAATAAAAGATATGGTCTTGCCATTGGTGTATTTAGAGGCTCTATTAGTCTGCTTGAGCTGCCATAACAAAATACCGCAGACTGGGTGATTTAAACAATGAAACTTGTTTTTTCACAGTTCTGGAGGCCAGAAGTGCAAGATCAAGGTGTTAGCCTGTTGGTTTTCTGGTAAGCCCTCTCTTCCTGGCATGTAGTCGGCCACCTTCCCACTGAGTCCTCACGTGGCATCTTCTGTGCTTGTGTGGAGATAGCAAGCTCTTCCCTCTTCCCCTTCTTATAAGGACACTAATTCCATCAGGTCAGAGCCCCACCCTTATGATCTCATTTAATCTTTATTACCTCTGTATAGGCCCCATCTCCAAAAACAGCCACCCTGGAGGTTAGGGCTCCAACATGTGAATTTGAGGGAGACACAGTCCATAACATTTTCCTTTGACCCCCACCTCCCCAAAATTCATGTGCTCATTGTACAGAATATACATTCACACTATCCCAACACCCCCAAAAGTCTTAACCCATTTTAGCATCAATTCCAAGTCCAAAGTCTCATCTAAATATCACCTAAATCAGATATGGATGAAACTCCAAGTATGATTTATCCTGAGACAGAATCCCTCTCCCCCTGGACGCCAGACAACTTATGTGCTTTCAAAATACAGGTATAGGATAGACATTCCCATTCCAAGAGGGAGAAATCAGAAAGAGGAAAGGGGTGACAGGTCCCAGACAAATCCAAAACCTAGCAAGGCAAACTCCACCAAATCTTAAAGCTCTAGAATAATCCTGTAGCTGAATGGTATGCTGTCCGGGCCCACTTGTGCAGTGGTGTCATCCCTACTGTCCTATAGCCAGCGGCCCTACCTCCTCGACGCTGGGCAGCAGTCCCACACCTGTGGCTTTTTGCTGCAGTCCTGCATCTGAAGCACAAGGCAGGGATGGCCCAACTCCCTGAAACCAAGAGGAGGCCCTACCCTCTGAACCTGAGAAGGAAATAGCCTTGCCCTCCGGGCTAAGTGCCCTAAGGCATATAGTGGGAATGGCAGCCTGATGATCTCTGAATCACCTTCAGGGTCATTCTTCCCTTCTCCTGAAGGATAAAGCATATTCACAGCCAAATAGCTCAGCTGTTCTGTCCTGTAGAATCCCAGAACTCCAACAGCCTTCCTTTATTTTGTACCTTCTCTGTTCCCTTTGGTCCAAACTGGTTGTGTCTCTTGCTGGTATAAATCCCATCTCTATTCCTGGTTTCTGCTGAGATGTCTGATGAACTGCATGGGTGACCTCTTTATAGAGTGGTTGGCCAGGCACACCCTTGGTGCTCTCCCTAAAACATGCATTCTTGGTTTTTTTGCCACATGGGTGGGCTGAGAATTTTCCAAATCTTCAAACTCTGGTTCCTTTTTGCTTAGCAGTCCCTTCCATTTATCTCTCTCCTCTCATGTTTTATTATAAACCACAAGGAAAAACCAGGCCACACCTTCAAAACTTTGCTTAGAAATCTCTTTAGCTAAATATCAAAGTTCATCACTTGCAATTTCCACTTACCACAAAACACTACAACACGATTCAGCCAAGTTCTTTGCCACGTCACGATTAGGATCACCTTTCTGCCAATTTCCATTTCCATCTTCTGCATTTCCATGTTCTGAGGCCTCACCAGAATCACCTTTAATGTTCACAGTTCTACCAACATTCTGTCCATGATGATGTGAGTCTTCTCTAAAATAATAGATGCTTTCTTTAACAGTTCTTCTCTTTTCTTCCTCAGCCCTCACTAGAGCTATCTTTAACATTCAATTTCTACCAACAGTCCCTTTAAGGCAACCTAGGTGTTTTTTCTAGCATGCATCCCAAAGCTTATCCAGCCTCTGCCTATTACCCAGTTCCAAAGACACCTCCACATTTTTAGGCATTTGTTACAGCAACAACGCCCCCCCACGCACAACCACCCCACCAACTTCTTGGTACCAAAATCTGTATTAGTCTTCTAGGGCTGCCATTAACAGAATACCACAGACTAGGTGCTTAAACAACAGAAATTTATTTTCTCACAGTTCTGGAGGCTGGAAGTCCAAGATCAAGGTGTTGGCAGGGTTGATTTCTGGTGAGACCTCTCTTCCTGGCTTATAGACAGCCACCTTCTGCTGTGTCCTCCTGTGGCCTTTTCTCTGTGTGTGTGCAGAGAGAGAGAAAGAGCTCTGGTCTTCCTCTTCTTATAAGGACACTAATCCTGCCAGATCAGGGCCCCATCCTATGACTTCATTTAATCTTTTTTACCTCCTTATAGGCCCTGTCTCCCAATATAGTCACATTGCAGGTTAGGGCTTCAACATATGGATGGGGGGTGCAGGTTGGGGGAAGACATAATTCACTCCATAAGAGGGGCTTTTGCCTTAGAACCATGAGACTAGAATTCTAGTCCCAGCTCTCTCCAACTAGCTCTGTGACTTTGGGTAATTCACTTCTTTCTGGGCCTGAGTTTCTAACCAATGACCTACGAATGGTAATGGCTATCCCAACCCATTTCACCTAGGAGCTATGAGAAACTGTTGAGATAATGGCAGTGAAAATGCTCTGCCTGGTGAAAAACACAGGTGCCAAGTCTCACTGATTCTATGGACAATATACTTGCAAAAGGCATACAAACTCCATACATGAAATTTGCTTCCATTTGGTGGCACTCAGTGATCAATATTTAATCAGCATGTGCTCCTAAAAATTGGGAAGTAGCTCACAAGAGAAAAAGTCACATGGTTACTGCACTGACCAAGGACTGAGAAAGTTCCCAGTTCTGTCTCTCATCCACCCCCCTCCATACTTATACACAGAAACAAACATACAAACAACTTTTGACCCCATAGAAGCCTTTCCATTTGTTTGTAAAGAATGTGTTTGTTGTTTTTAAAGAATACTACATCTTACTGTAATCTTTAAAATATTCTTGACATTTAACCTAATAATTACATTTCTGGGAAACTTTCCTAAAAAAATAACCTACAAGATTTATGGACCAGAATGTTAATAGTGGTGTTATTTATAATATTGGAAACGACCTAAATATCCAACTGTGAAGGAACAGTTAATAAATTGTAGAATATCTATATGATGGATTATTATATATCCATTTAAAATAATGTTTATGAAGAGTTCATGCTCTAATGTTAAGTGAAAAAAAGCAGGGTCCAAAATTACATTTAAGTATGATCTCAGCTATATAAATAAAAGGAATTTTTTTAAAATACTAGAAGGAAATGTGCCAAAATGCTAGCAATATTTACCTCTGGGTGGTGAGACTATGGATAGATGAAGATTTTTTTGTTTAATTTGGTTTCTTGGGTTTTGTTTCTTTGTTTGTTTGTTTTGCCTCTTCCATATTTTATAATAATTACCTATTACTTTTGTAATAGGGGTGGGTGGGTAAATAGCAAGCACAGGAAAGGATCACAAGAGGAATAATGGTTTACCCTGGTGTCTTACACAGAGAGTTTTGCATGCTTGAGTCTCTCCCCTGATATTAGGGAAACTGAGGTAGAGTTAGAACAACCAGTCCCAAATTTTGGGAGTTCAGGTAACCCAGGTCAGTGTTCCTCTCTAGCTACAGTATACTGTCATAGTTAGGAGGTGACCATCATAACAGGG